TTTTATACAATAAACAATATCCAACAATAGGTGCAGGTAATATTATGAGGTATTGTTAGCCCCTGAAATAAAAATCAAAGCAAAGTAAAAATGAAATTTTTTGCTATAATTCAAATTATGTCCGTTGTCATGACAAGTTACGAAAATTCAGTCCGTTGTCATCGGTCCGTTGTCAGAATTGTACAGTATACAACATTGGTAAACTACTGTTTAATGCATTCTATTTATCAATTATACCTGAAAATAGAGGGAAAAGATGTTGGAAAGGAAAACTGGTCATACATGTATCATTTCGCCGAACGAATATGTAATTTGTCCGAACAAATATCTTATTCTTCCGAACAAATAAATATTTTTTTATCTGGCCCCCCAGCGGCGCCGTAGGTTTCGAACAAGTGCTATTAATAGAAAATTTAAAAGCATGTTTCATCGATAACATGGCACTGATTTTTCTATAATTGTTTCTATAAAACCTCAATAATTTAATTTAAATTAAAGTCAACGGACCAATCCCGTTATAAAACAAAAATAATTGAATATATCAATGGGTGGACGATTTAATGACAAAGGAATTTAAGATTTACTGAGCTTCTAAGTTAGACTTTTAAGGGTGAACACCTTAGCAGCACGAAGCGCATGCAGTGGTTATAGAGCATTTCACTAGTGTGGAGGAGCAAGAGAATTGATCCTTACGTCACTGGTTCGAATTTCAACGCGGACGTCGAGACCGGCATAAGTCCCGTATCACAGTAGTCAGATGTTGGTACGAAATAAATCTTTTTCTGTTCTATGTCCACAAGTGCCGAGTACAGATCTAAAGCATCCCTCAATAGGCAGTCAGTAGTGTTCAAGGGACATGAAGCAAGCAAGCAGCCAACCAACAGACTTTGGCATCGTGTATAGCTGACAATATTTCACTTTATAACTCATAAAATTATCTTTACTTCTTACGAATAGTAAAATAAAACGCATAATATTCAGTATGTCTATTATGATTTTTTTGGTACTGCTGATGTGCACACAAAATGCATGCACGTACCTAGTAGAATTGGAATTGAAATTACTTTATTGCATTTTTTTAAATTTCAAATTGTTGCTTTCAGACAACCAACAAAATTTAAATTTATAACTACAATCATCGTGATATTGGATTAAATCTGTTATCTCTTCATTCATATAGCATCGCTTTTGAAATGTGGGGGAGGGGCTAGGGCAGTAATTGGTAATTAACCTGAAATCTCTTTGACAAACTACATAGAGAGAAGAAAATCCTATTTAGGGGGAGGCTTAATTTCCAACTTCTTGGACGAGAGAATTGACTCTACTGAAACAAAAGAAGGGGGGGGGGGGGTCAACCGACCTTTCAAAGAATACTTTCATACTAATTAAATAAACGGTATAAGTTTAAATTGGGGACCCTCTCCCGATATTATGTGCCTTAAGAATAAATAAATCTGATCATTTCCGCACCATTTCATAGACAGGCTTACATGTTAAGACAAGTGACACCGGACCATATCAACTTAACATGTACTGACAACGGACAATTTGCTTATAAATATCAAGTTCTCATATAGTATGCGTTCTGCAAAAGGCTGAAATATGTCTAATGAGATGAAAATAGAGGTACTTTTCAAACTGCGAATTTAAAGTGCTTTTTAAATAAATTGATGACGAAAAAAATATGTTTTTTTCACCGCACATCCATGCTTTTACACCATGGTATGTATTCGCCAATCAAAACTACTCGGTATATATAATGGATGAAATATATGGAGATAACGAACAGTATTCAAGCTCAAAAGTCCATTAAACAATACAAAATAGGAGCAGAGCAAACACGGACCTCTAAACATCAGAGGTGGGATCAGGTGCCATGGAGGAGTGAGCATCCCCTGCCGACCGGTCACAACAGCCGTGTGCTCCTTGCCATTATCGGGAAATAACGGAAAAATCCGTCGACAATTCAGTGTGTAAATAATGGCCTAACAATTAGTATGAAAAACGTCAGTCAGCATTTGACTCAATGATAAATTGTATTTGCTGACAAGGTCATTGTATCGACCATAGAACTTACGAAATGATGACTTTAAACGAGACAGCTGATATTCTTGTTTCATCAACTTGTTTGTCAATAATTTACCTCGTTTTAGAAATCGTTCATACGTAGAGCATGCTCTTGCGTATCGAATCAACTGAGAGATATATACCCCGTATGCAGGTGATGAAGGTATATTGCTGCATAAGTAAGGGAAGTTGACGATTGAAAAGTTAAAGTCATCACGTTTATCATAAAGCTTGGTTGTTAGATTACCATTAACGTCTTTTTCAAGTAAAACATCCAAATATGAAACAGATGTGTCAGACTCTGTGGTATCTTTTATCTCAAGCTCACCAGGATATAGAGACATGACTTTTTGTCCTGAATACTGAATGCTGTATCTGTTTCCCAATACTGAAGTGTATTCCTGGAATTGAACAAAAACATGATTTTTTATGCATTCAGTAAAAATTCTTGTATATTTTGAATGACACCGGACGCACTTTATCTTAACCTCACCTGTGCGGTCATGACAACGAACCAATTTTAGTGCTTAACTTTAAAGGTCTCTGACAACGGTACTGTAAAGGAACTTAACGTGTTCCTGGCCGTGCTATAGAAAATCACGAATGTCGGCTGACCCCTACCACATTGTATGGCTTTGTTCTTTGTATATTCATGAATTTCAGCGATAAAATTTGTTGAATCTTATGGTTTAGATATCAATTAATGATCTGAGATGAAAAATTATACTTAATTTGATTCTTCATTTTTTCACATTTTACCGGGGCCCTTAAGTGCACTCGTTCTTTGCTTGAAGGAGTATTTTTTAAACATTTGATCTTATCTTCAAATATTGTATAGGTCTAAATGAATTAAATATAGGTGTAAATAATTACACCTTTTGTTAAATAATTGAACTTAGGTTGAAATGAAAAGAGACAAGTACTGGTTAAATCCGGCTTGCACCCATTAAGCCCCCCAAAAAAACCCAGCGCAGTTTGGAACTTGAACACAGAATTACCAATATTTAGGTCTTATTCATGCATATCTGCATATCGCTAATATATTGTAAAGGACATAGCATTTTGAACTGTGCAAGATCACGCAGAAACTGATAATGCTGATTGTTGTAGTCTCTCTTGCTAATATTACTTTCTGAGAGACATTCATAACCTGTCAACCTTATTACATACATATATCTCGTTTCTTTGTCCTTTCCTTGTATTGTATAAAAAAAGGTAAAGAAAACGAACAGTGATCAATCTCAAAAAAATCTATAAAAAGTACAAATCCGTGAAGAGGGCATAAAACTCAGACCCCTGGAAATTCCAGTGGAGGGATTAGGTGCCTAGGAGGAGTAAGCATCCCCTGTTGACCAGTCACGCGCGCCGTGAGCCCTATGTATTGACGGTCAGGTAGACGGAACATTCTGTTGTCAAATTTAGTATAAAAACAGACCTAGCAAATGGTATGGAACAAGTCAGCCAAAATACGACCCAGTGATAGGTTATATTTAAATTGCTATATAACAAGGCCATTATAACGATGTATGTAATTGGTATAATAATATATGTATGTAATTGCTATATGTGTGTAATTGGTATATATGTATGTAATTGCTATATATGTATATATAATTGGTATATAAATGCTTAATAAATATCCACATTTCCAATCCACTATCATCCAGTAACTCCCTAACATAACATAATAACACTCCTTAAAAGTGCTTGGACACAGATTTGAAGTTAATATTTTCTCAAATTTCTGTATAATATCATGACTTATATTTTGCTATAGCATTCCATACTAAGATATAATAAAAATCTTATTTTATCTCGAAGTTATTAAAACTTCGAATTTCTGGACGCGTTGAATTGATACATTCTTGCACTTTCACGTTTTAATTTTATTCTTAATACTTCAGAAAAGTGGCAATTTTGTTGTGTATTTATGGAAAATATTAAAACTATAACCCAGAAAATTCAGAGTAGAAATGTTCGAAAGCAAAACCCACTCACAGTAGTTGCCCGCGTGGCGCAGTGGTTAGAGCGTCTGCTCTAGAGTCGCGGAGTAAGGAGTTGATCCTTATGTCGCGGATTCGAATCCCACTGTGGGACGTGGAGACCGGTCCTCCGGATGAGACCGTATAAACCGAGGTCCCGTGTCGCAGTAGGTGCTGGCACGAAAAAGATTCCTTACTGCTCAATGGCCGTAAGTGCCGAGTATACTAGTAGGACAACATTTGCAGCTTTCTACCGGCAAGTGGTGGCGTCTCCATATGAGTGAAAAATTCTCGAGAGGGACGTTAAACAACATATGAACAAACACTCACAGTATTGAAAGTCCGTGTGAAATTCTATTGCAATATATAAGTCGTGATATTACACAGAAAATTTTAGAAAATATTAAGTTCAAATCTGTATCTAAGCATTTTTAAATCTTCAAATAAATAATAAATAAAGAGGATGAGATTATTCAAAATGTAACATCAGAGTTTGTGTTGGTGAAATGTCACTTTGGTATTGGCTCTACATAAAATTCCAGGGTAGTCCATTAACAAACATTTATTTTTCCGTTTTTTTTCCCGATCATGACAAGGAACACACGGCGGGTGTGACCGGTTGAAAGGGGATGCTCGCTACTCCATGGCACCTGATCCCACCTCTGATGTTTTGGAGGTCCGTGTTTGCTCTACTCCTAATTTGTATTGTTTAATGGACTTTTGAGCTTGAATACTGTTCGTTATCTCCATATATTTCGTTCAATTTCATTTCTTGATTCACCAAACATGTTGCATAAAATGAAAAGAGCAATCTGTTGTCAGATGATTACTTTTTTAAACAGTTAAATAAATAACCACGAGTGTACATATTAGTGAATTTATAGACAATTGAGGTACAAATGTTTAATTGTTGATTCTACATCATTTAATTAAAATTTCATTGATGCATGTATTACTAAAAATTTAAAAAATTCTGTAAAATCAAATTTAATCACTTTACAACAAATATTCCTTTCTGAATGCATGAAACTGTCAAAAAACACATGAAAAGATTAACTACAAACTATTGATGAGCAATTTAAACTTTGCTTTTTCAAAAAGTTTCTTTTTGTCCTGATAGAATGAAATTGTTGCATAAATGGAAAAGGAATATTTGGTACACAATGTAACAATATCAAGATAGTGTTTGTATCCGAAAAATATTATGTTGAGAAAGGTTGTCAGTACTATCACTGTTTCATACACATATAAAAAAAAAAAAAAAAAAAAAAAAAAAAAAAAACAAAAAAAAAAACATAAATATGAATAAAAAATAAAGCTTAAAAAATGAATATAGTAAGTCTACAATATTTTCTTCAGATTAGAACTCTATCTGTCAAATTTAGATATCAAGCCATAAAAAGTGGGGTCTGAACGCAATATTGACATCTCGGTTTGCTGAGAATGGATTGTCATGGGCTGTTTTGAGTTCTTGTAGCATTTGGCAAGTGTAAGTAGTATTTACTCCATTAGCTGCTCTGTTTGTCATGATATATAGTTTATATATCGGTGTAAAAATACATTTTTTTGTGTCTTTACCACAAGTTTTTGGTAAGTTGATCCATACACACTAGGAATTCTGGGAGTTTTATATGCCAGGGTTTGATTGTCGTGTCTTTAGCACCAGTTTCTTAGTCAGCTGATCTATACATACAGGAACCTCTGGAGGTCCTTGTTTCCACGGTTTGTCTCGTTCATCAGATTTATAATGTTCCTTCTTGATAAAGTCCTCTAGTGACCTATTTACATTCAGGATAAGATCGTTCAGTTCAAACTCCCCCTCTTTGTCAGTGAGAGCTGTGACCTCCTTATAGAGGGCGTACACAAACTGGCAGGCCGACTGACCATCAGTATTTCCTATGTGGTCAATGTACTCTCCTAGGCCTCTCTTTGTTTCTGGTTTCATTCTGTCAGTATATCCACCTGTAAGAAATTACATGTTTATTCAGGCATCAAAATATTATACAAAACTCTTTATTGATTGTGTGTGTGTTTTTTAAAATTAAAAATGAAAACATTGTTTGGCTCAATCAAAGTCTCAAAACTAAAATCATTTATTTTGTGAACTAAGTTTATGGAAATATGACTAAGAATATATGAGAAGTAGCTTTTATTTAGCATGACAATACCGATCATCAAAGTCCGATCTACAGAATTATGTGTATTTGTGAACCACGATTTATTGAAGTCTGTCCCAAAACTGAATGACGCATAACGTCAAAACAGAAAATCAAAGATAACTACTGTACTGTAGTAACTATGGCACCACCATTCATCAATATATATATATATATATATATATATATATATATATATATATATATATATATATATATATATATATATATATATATATATATATATATATATATATATATATATATATATAAAACCCTGATAAACAGAAACAAATATCTAGCTATTATTGTTTCAAACCAATTAATCCAAAAATAATTAGAGTCCCAAATTTAATAGCAAAAAATTTAATTAATTATCATTGAATCTTAACCAGATACTATGGACTGATAGACAAGTATGTCTGCTTCTATCGGTGTCCTCTGTATTCGGGATGGTTCTTCTTCTTCTTCTCCAGAAAAAAAGGCTTTATTTTTCTTGACAAGGAAAGGGTTGCATGTCTATAAACATAAATAAAAAGATGTGAAATATCACTTTCATATTTAAACTGCAAAGAAATGTAACTTCAGCTTAATTCTGATATTCAAAATTGAAATTATTTGAAAATCAAATTATAACATATTGTTCATTGCAGGTCTATCAATGTATCTATAAATTCTGAAAATGGTTTAAATTTCATTTCGGAAATAAACTACACAATTTTTTTTCAGATTAATGTAAAAGATGAAGATTACAAAAAGTGATCAATCTCATAAACCCACTGAATAAAACGATTCGTGAAGAAGCTAAAAACACGGGTCCCTGGAAACACAAGAGGTACTTGGCATTAGTTGCCTAGGATGAGTAAGCAGCCAATGTCAACTTGTCGAAAGCACCGTTAGCCCTCTTAATTGATAAGAAAAACGGAGTATTCCATGGTCTAAATGGCCAAACTATTGGTAACGGAGTAATCCATGGTCCAAATGGCCAAACTATTGGTGGGAAACATGTCAGTTAAACGGACGCAAGGATATTGTTTTTGCAAACAAGAACATGCAAACGACAAAGGAATTCGCGAAATGTTGGATTTAATGGGGTAGTTGACATCTGTAACATCAACTTATTTGTCAGCAGCATCGCGTCAGTTGGGAGACATCAACACCATATGCTGGTGTTTGTGGAATATTACATGCATATATAGGGGAAGCTGAAGTCATCCCGTTTGTAGGCACCTGATCCCACCTCTGGAATTTTCAGGGGTCCGTGTTTTAAGCCCTCTTCACATATTTATATTGTTTATATATTTTTTGAGATCGATCGCTGTTCGTTAATTTCGCCTTTTTTATCATATACATGTAGTTTAGTTGCTGGTTGGCCATTAACGTGTAATATCAATGAAACATATCTTAGTCATGTTAGTATAGAGCAGATGTAGCAGATTCTGTGGTGGCGAGTTTAATGCGATATATCGAGTTGACATATGAATGAAAAAAATATAATTGTGAATTGACAATATGTCGTTAATATATCGACATGTTGAATTAAAAGCCACAGATGACTTTACATTTTCTTATGTAGGATTTTTTAATTTTTTTTAAAAAATTCTATTTCATAAGAATAAACAAGCAGGGCGGCTAGCAATTGAACACAATTCGTGCCCAGGAATTCCAGCAGATTTCATGCTGTCAAATCTATAGGAGAATTGTCCTTTGTCAATAACTGTCTCTGATATCAACATGTGCACTTATATTTGAAAAAGTAAATTTAAAGAACACAGCACTCAACTGAACAATCTTCAGATGATTTTTAAAAACATATTTATTTCCATTTTAAAAATTGGACCCATGTTGTGAGCCAACCCTAGATCCAAAGGTTTCTGACTTATCCACTATCGGCCTATATCAATATTAATATGACACATTGTTTTCCTGTTCTGGAATTTTTCCCCTTATAACTGCACTATGTTCAATTTATCACCTATTCGCTCTAGGTATGAACAATTTCTAAAACGAGGCAAGCTATTGACAAACAAATTGATGAAACAAGGATATCAACAGCTTCGTTTGAAGTCATCATTTCGCAAGTTTTATGGTCGATACAATGACCTTGCCAGCATATACAACTATCATTAAGTCAAATGCTGACTGACGTTATTCATACTAATTGCTAGACCATTATTTACACATTGAATTGTCGACGGATTTTTTTTCCGCTTTTCAAGTTCATGACAAGGAGCACACGGCGGGCGTGACCGGTCGGCAGGGGATTTTCACTCCTCCATGACACCTTATCACACCTCTGATGTTTTGGAGGTCCGTGTTTGCTCTGCTTCCGATTTGTATTGTTTAAATGGACTTTGAGCTTGAATACTGTTCGTTATCTCCATATTTCATTTCACAAATCGTGAAGCCATGGCGCATATTTTGATGGATTAACACACTTTTGAATCATTACATATGAAAATATATTTCTATTTTGTGATGTAAAAACTTTGTATTCCTATTTTAGCCCCAGTCTAGCCACAGAGGAGATGATTAGATGGATGTGCACTACTTACAGATGCTTCCATACGAATAATAATGTATCGGTTGTTCTTAAAAGATTGTTCAAATGTATTATTTTCCCTGTAAATGGCTGTATTATGTAAAATAGTATGTAAAACTTTGATCCCCTATTCCGAGCCCCATCATTCCCTGGGACCATGATTTGAACAATTTGCATTTGTACTATCTGTGGACGCTTGCATAGTTTTATGACTTTAGTCGTCACATTGCTGTTCTTTAGAAGAAGGTTTTTCAAGACTTTTTTCTTATATAATCCTAAGTGAAAAGTTGGATCCCCCCCCCCCCCCTCCCTATTGTAGCTTCAAACTACCATTTTGGGTCATGATTTGAAAAATTTTGAATCTGTATTTTTTCCCTAATAATGATTGCATATTAACAGGCTTAATCATGACCCTGCTGTTCTCGAGTAGAACATAAAAGAAATGGTCAGATATATCCCCAAGTAAATATTTGCCCACCATGTGTTATATCCCAATTGGTTGGGAAATGACTCATGTGAGAATTGTTGCTCACAAGCTTTTTGTATTCTGTAACGCTCTTCCTCAATGTAAATCTTATACGGTAAATTTAAGTCAAAATTTCCTAAATAATTGACCTCCAGAAATGCCCATGCCCTCAAATATTGGTTAGGAAAAATTACCTGTATAAGGAAAACTTTTGGCTTCAGGATCAAATTCGGGCAGAAGAGTCCTTTAAAGAACCACAGCAGATCATTGACAGAGAATTTTGGAGGTTTATTACTTCTTATCTGGTCATTTATTGGATCATTGGGTAAATAGAAATACCCCGACTCTCCAAACGCCAACACCACACACACGAACATTTCTGCATGTTTGGTTATATCTTCATTACTGGCTAAAAGAAAAATGGATTAATAAAAAAAAATGAGTAAAACATTACAACAAATCTCTTTAATTCTGTTGGTTTGCATATCGTTTATCGTATATAAGTTTATCGTTTAGCCCTCTAATAATTGTGAAATTCATAGCTCAGGGGCCTAAAGATCAGGACCCACTGTAATATCTCTCTAATCAAGCATTCAATGAAATCAATGCAAATTATCCTTAGATGCACCATCCCTGACAAAACTGTACTATAGTTAACTAGAGTTTACTTTAGCGTACTATGGTTAATTATAGTAAATACTTTGATATTTGATTTACTATGAAACTTTACAATAAAAATTATTTTGTGATTTTAAAGCTTATAATCTCCTAAATTTAGTATGAATGATGTAAAACTTAAAATTAATATTTGAATATACAAGTAATATATCCATTTAATATAAAAAAAAATGCACAAATGGATTACAGAACAAGATATCTAACAATCTGAAATCCACAGTAAAAATATTTTGATTTACTATAGTAAAAACGAGGATTTACTGTAGTAAAAATACTTTAATTAGTAAACAATAGTTAACTATACTATATTTTGTTAGAGATGGCTGTAATTGCTAGTATTCTAGATACATGTATTATTTTTCTATTTCTTGTAGGCATAGTACCTTGTAAATCAATATGCAGAATTATCTACCCTAGATGTAGTATATATGTGTTCTAAGCTTTTAATTGAAATTAGAATAAAATTGTAGAAAGAAGCAGACATGAAACAAAGAATTGTGTATCTTATTATGATCTATCTGAAATTTATTGAAATCAGAGACCATGGGCCTTATCATCTATTTTCAGTAAAACATCAAAATATAAAACAGATGCAGCAGACTCTGACGTGTCTTTTATTTCGAGTTCACTTGCTTCGCCATGCGCTCGGCACTTTGAAGTGAAAGTTGCGGGTCCTTCGGATGAGACTTTAAAAACCGAGGCCCCGTGTCACGGCAGGCGATGGCACGATAAAGATCCCTCACTGCTCAATGGCCTGGAGTGCTGAGTAAAGGTCAAAATTTGAAGCCCTTCATCGGGATATGGTGACGTCTCTATATGAGTGAAAAATTCTCGAATTGGACGTAAAACAACATGCAATCAATCAATCAATCGAGTTCACTTGGATATATCGAGTCCACATGTGACTGGAATAACTACATGTATTGTTAATCAATAAAAAGTCGTTGATATATTTAAAGGCGAGTTAAAAATCACATCAAGTGTTTTCTTCTTCTCATGTAGAAGTTTTTTGAATAAATTCTGCTTCATAGGAATATAAAAACAAGTCTGCTAATAAAAGAGCACAATTAGTGCCCATCAAAATTCCAACAGTTTAATGGAAGACCTGGTCTCCAAAGACTACATAAATGTTGTCAATGAGGATCTCCAGCATCCCTTTAAAATCAATTTCAGAGTACTTTTGCGTAGAATCAGAGTAATTTTTAACAAAGTAATTTTGTTCATGACCGATCACAAGATACGAAAATTTTCATGTTCTATTTTTTTTTAAGAAGGAGTTGTCTATGATATCAAAAAGCCTTGTTTCTAATTTAATGAGGAATGGTTGTAAAAAGTGAAGAAAAGCAGTATGTTTTGATGTTACTGATTTTAGAATAATTTAGTGATTTTAAATTGTCTAAGTAAAATCTTTAGAATTTTTGAGAATCCACATATGATTTACATCACTAATAGAATATATGCAACATAGCATTTACAGCAGTTAATATTTTTGTAAGGAATAAAGATCAGGGCTTGGTAGAACACTTGCTTGGTCCGTCAACGTATCTTTGTAAGGATTTTTTTTAAAGATGATTACCCTTATAGATGACTTCAATTTGTACAAAATTTGAATGTAACGTCAAGCGGATCAATACGTTTTTGACGCAAGTCATTGTGACGTAGGCAACTCAATTTATACGATATAAAGTAATTTTTTTATCCAATCAAATACAGCGTTACAACCAGAATTAAATTAATGATAATTTAAATGAATTTTTATTTTTTTTTATTTTTGTTAACTACTTTAAGGCGAATGGCAAGTCTACAGACCTAGAAACTTCTTATGAAAAAAAAATGTTTTAAGTGGCGTATCATATATACCAAAGTGCGCTCGATCGCTCCAAGAAGACGCACACAATTTATCCAGATATTTGTTAGTAATGTGTTGTCAGCCCTCAAGCTTTAAATTTCTCAATCGCTAATCATGTTATGAAGTTTGTTATTGAATACATGTAGACACCTATTACAACTTTTCAGCTTTTCAGTTGGTCCCTTTAAACAGTGAATAAAAGAAAGCCTCTTCGTTAAACTCAAAGGTTATTGGCATCTTTTCCTTTGTTGGCAAATTTAAACTAAGGAACTGATGGGATGAGTCAGAATTATCTTCCGTCACTCTTGGTGGCTTTAAGAGCCTGTGTTGGGTAACATCCATAATCACAATTTTTAAACTTACTGCAGTTGAAGAATCTAAGAATCTACCTTGCTTTAGCTTCTTCATATAGTCCATTCAAAAATGTCAAGGGAACCAAGTAAATGTGAGTATTCAGGGTTGTTTTGTTGAAATCAGAAGAATACTATACATGGTATTTGTTCTACTATGAAAAGTTGTTTACAGACTGACAGACAAACACAGGTACTTGTAAATGAAAAAATCGAACAAGCCATGGATTGTATATCGGAGGGGGAGGGGTTATCCACAAGCCATGGATTGTATATCGGAGGGGGAGGGGGTTATCCACAAGTACCTATACAGACAACTACAAAAACAGGCGGCAGACAAGCTATAAATCACAAAGCCTCAAGTATCTGTACAGACAACTACAAAAACAGATGACAGACAAGTATAAATCACAAAGCCTCAAGTACCTGTGCAGACAACTACAAAAACAGACGACAGACAAGCTATAAATCACAAAGCCTCAAGTACCTGTACAGACAACTACAAAAACAGACGACAGACAAGCTATAAATCACAAAGCTTCAAGTACCTGTACAGACAACTACAAAAACAGACGACAGACAAGCTATAAATCACAAAGCCACCAGTACCTGTACAGACAACTACTAAAACAGACGACAGACAAGCTATAAATCACAAAGCCTCAAGCACTTACCAATGTTTTTCAATTCCTTCTTTAAATTGTCTGTGGAGTACAAAGGATCATGTTCGTTAACAGAATTCTCATCATTAATTATATATGGTTCTGGATGAAACCAAGGTAACTTATTGAACGTCTTCTTCAGTAGATCAATGTCCCGAGATGCTGAAGGTCTCTTCTGAGGTTCCCTACCGAAGTGGGTCTTTCTGATGTCCACAATTACAGGTCTACAGATGATACCATTTTTACCAGGCGTTGTTTTGTAGGTTTTTGACTCATACCTTTCATTATCTATACTTAAAAAAAATCATTTAGTAAGGCAAATAATGTAAAAAGAAAAAAAAGAATGCGATAAAGTTCTACTGATATCATACACATGTATATGTATTGTTAATTCCATTTGTGATCACTGATTAACAAATAATTTGAATCGTAACATTTTCCTGATAACATATATAATCATTGCTTTTAAATATCAAAGTTGAATAGAATAAAATAATAATCTTAGTTCCTCACCTGTCTCGTTCATCCTTCAAGGTCGTTTCCCTGTCAAAACTATGGCACAGGTATTTACTTTCGTTTTGCTACAGCCATTTAGGGTATTCCGAATAACCTTTTACATTTTGACTGTAATTAGATCTACTTTAAAGGGGGAGTCTATCTTCGATATAGAGACCTTGACGGGGGTTATATTTACATATTACATTAGTTACCTTTTTAGTGTATTTCGGGTCACTTTCGGGTATTTCGAATCATCAGGTAAATGGGTTAAAACGGTCAGATAACAACTTTATAATTAATGAAGTAGTTGGTATTGTTCACCAAAAATTTTCTTGTTGATTGCTTTTGTTTATTTTAAAGTTATTAAAGCCCCCTTCTGTAGTCACACTGTAAAACAGCGTTTTCAGAAGCGAATCATGCAGAAAAGCAATTACCAACAAAATATTTATGGTTCCTGAAATTACTTGATTGTTGTCCTGTAAATATAATTATGACATTTCTTTTACCAGTATGATTTTTTTCAATGCAAAAGAATTAACATTGAAAATGTAATACTAAATCATTAGAAATTAAACCAACTCATGTTTAGATATTTAGATACTACGATTATCAAGTATAACATATTTCACTGCATATCATGCAATAAATTGTATACTAGTCATATTAATTTGCGTTTTTACTGAGTCATATTAATTTCTATTTTAATGTTTTTATGTGTTTAGTATATTAAAGGGGATAATCTCAAGAACTCTATTAAACTTTTTTATGTACTTCTTCTATAAAACCTTTGTTCGTTTCCTTAACGGCACAAGAATAATTAGGAAGGTGAAGAAGTCTTTCAGCTTTTAAGTGAAAAAAAAAAAATTGCTGGTGCCTTATAAAACATTTTATTTGATAAATACTACGTTTTTTACTGGGTTAAATATAATTTCAGTTACATTTAAAATGTAAAATGTTAATTTCAATTACATTTGAAATGTTTTTCTTACATTTATCTGATGTTATACATGATAGAAACATTTAAGAGTTGCCTAAATACAACATACATAGTATACAACCGGAACATTAATGAACTTGAAAGCGCCACAAGATAAATAAGAAAGTGAAGACGAATTTCAACTTTTAAGTTAAAAAAAAATGAATGGCTGGTGCCTTAGAAAACATTTTACTTTAATGCCCAGTGGATCTGGATGACAAAATTTGCATTTTTACCTCAATAATTTTCTCACTACACCAACAAAACTTTATAACAGAAACGTAATAAATTACTCCATCTAGGAATTAAAATATTTAATAATCATTCTAAGTTTAAACTACGTGAAAATCGCAACTGAAAAGTAATCCGGATTCTGTCCTAAGACACATCCTCAAATATTTACCTCTAAATGAACGCTAGCTCCATGGAACCCGGATAAAAAAAAAGCCACTGAAAGTTATTCTTCATTTTACATGAAATATGGATGCATTTATCAATCAGAGCATAAAATGGGCAGGTCAGCATTTGATCATGGGCCTCTTTAGCTAGTATTTCAAATGATATATGTTTAACGGGTTTGAAATTTAAGGTGGAAATGAAGTAAATTCTGATTTTAAAAGAGGGAGTTTCAGAAAAAATGTTTTTCTGTTAAGAAAAAAAAAGGGGAAAAAATGGCCCAACCTGGAAGTTGAAACAGCGTTGGCCGCAAGGGTAAAAACAAAATTTCTTTGTTCTTATTGCACATCTGCAGGACCCATCCAATCACCATGAAGTCAATACGGCTACTGCATATTTGAATGAGGAGTTTGGGAATCATGTTCTGGTAAATTGAAAAACGTCGTTTTTTTTTCATCCCACTTGTCCCCAAGGGTGAAAATGAAAATTCCCAAACTTAATTGCACATCTAGATTTGCAGGACACCCCTAATTATCTTGCTAAAGATACTGTTCTGGGAACCAGGTTTGTGTAAAATGAAAAACATCTTTTTCACCCCATTTGAATACCACCCCCCCCCACCCTCCCCGAAGTGTAATGAAAATTCCAAAACCTTATTGCACATCTGCAAGACACACCCAATTATCTTGCAACAATGATATATAGCTACTGTGAAAACTGTAAGGAGTTCTGGGATCCAGATCTTGTAAAATAATAAACGCCATTTTTCGATCCCCATTTGGCCCCCAGGTTGAAAATGAAAATTCCTAAATCTTATTGCACATCTACAGGACACCCCAATCATCTTGCAAAAGATGAAATGGCTCTGCATAGAATGAATGAGAAGTTCTGGGAACCAGATTTTTTAGAATAAAAAAACGTCGTTTTTTTCACCCACTGTTGGTCCAAGGATGAAAATTGCAATTCCTTAACCTTATTGCACATCGGAAAAGATGAGATGGCTACTGTGTAAAATGGAAGAGGAGTTCTGGGAACCAGTTTTTTGTAAAACAAAATTTTTCCCCTATATATTCTTATGTAAAATCACGATCGTCCATGGTGGCCCAAACATACCCCTTTGGGGTCGATTTGGACAAAAAACTTGAAACTACACTACTGAGGATGCTTCCATATAAATAAGACCAATCATGGCTAAATTGCTGTTCTTGAGAAGCTTTTGAAAGATTTTTCCTATATATTCCTGTGTGAAACTTTGATCGGTCATTGTGGCACCACTCTAGCACCTAGTGTCATAATTTGAACAAACTTGAATCTTCACTACTTGAATATGCTTCAATATGACCATTCATTATTTTGCTGCTCTTGGGAAGATTTTGAGGGGAAAAAATCTTTTATATTACTTTGTACCTCCCTAACAAACATTAACTTTAGTTAACTATAATAAAACCTTGATACTTTGATTTACTATGAAACTTTACTATGGTACTTTTTTGAAATATCAAAGCTTAATATCTCTTAAATTCGATAAGTGGTGTAAAATTTAGATTGATTGATTAATTGTATGTTGTTTTACGTCCAATTCGAGAATTTTTCACTCATATTGAGACGTCACCATATACCGGAGAAGGGCTTCAAATTTAGACCTATACTCGGCACTCAGGGCCATTGAGCAGTGAGGGTTCTTTAACGTGCCATCGCCTACCGTGACACGGGGCCTCGGTTTTTAAGGTCTCATCCGAAGGACCAGCAAATTTGACTTCAAAGTGCCGAGCGGTTGGCGAAGGAACAGTTGCTATCTATTTTTTATCGACTTAGGTTAATCGCGGCCATGATTCGAACACACGACCTTCCCATCACGGAGCGAGAGCTCTACAGACTGAGCTACCGTGACGGTGTGTAAAATTTACAAATAATATATGAATATACAAATGATAGTTCCATATAATTAAAATTGCATGTATGAATTGGAGATCATAAAATATAAGAATCTGAAATTCATAGAAAAAATACTTTGATTTACTCTAGTATAAACTTTTACTATCACTACTAAAGACTTTGATACTATAGTAAATTATAGTAAAATATAGTTAACTATACTAGTATTTTTTGTATAGTCGGGGTCATGATTTGAACAAACTTGAATATACACTACCTGAGGATGCTTCTACCGGTATATCAATATGACTATTCGTGTTTTTGATATTCTTGAAAAGATTTTGAAAGATTTTTTCTTGTAAAACTTTGATCGTCCATTATGGTCCCACCCTATCCCCAGGAGTATTGATTTGAACAAACCTGGAACTACACTATGTAATGAAGTTTTTACATAAGTCTACATGACTTTGAGGACACCATCAATTATCTTCCAAAAGATGATTCTGCCACTGGGTAAAATGTATGAGTAGTTCTGGGAACCAGGTTTCTGTTTTTAAAAAAAATCGATTTTTTAACACCCGGTCGTCCCCCCAGGGTGAAAATGAAAATTTCAAAATCTTTTTGTACATGTACAGGGCATCACTCATCATATCTAAAAAGATGAGTGTCTGCTGATTAAATAGCAGAGAGAATAGTTTGAGGAAGATGATTAGTTTGATAATATACCCGAACTTTCATTAGAACTTGCGGGAATAATAAGTTTAACAAGACAAGTGTATTAAATAAGCAATATAATGGAATAATACAGGAATATGGAACTTGCGAGCATGAGCCGTTAAAACATGTCAATTTCACAAAGTTGTCTTATTTCATAAAGAACTTGAGATTCTTTGATAATTATGCGCCAGATTTACACATATGCATCCACTGTTGTTAAGGAACAGTTTATGTCAATGTAAGGATAACAAGAGGCCCAAGGGCCTTAATGGTCACCTGAGTATAATACAACAATTTAGAGAATCCATAGAGTATAAAATGAACTGAAAAGTGAAGCTTTGTTGCCCAAAAGCAAGAAAAATAGGGTGATCAGGTTCAACAAAATAATTAGTCTAGTGTTCATTAACAGTTCATAAATTAGGTTCTAATCTGTTCCCCATTTATCACTATCACCATACAGTATATTAACAAACTATCAATGCTTCTGTACTATTTTAATTCCTTGTTGAAATCTCTTACATTGGACTCTCTTGGTCTTTGATGAACATTGAATAAGACAAGTTATTTTTGTCTCATTTTTATTTATCTATTACTTACAAGTCTACCTGATCATTAAAACTATGAAAGTACTTTTTGTATTATACAATAAAAAATCTTGCAAAATTCTCTTATTCTATTAACCTTTCAAGTACATTATTTACAGTGACTAATTATCAAAAGTAAATGGCAAAGGGGAATAACTCCCCTCAGTAGAATACAAATTAATAGAGCCCTGGCCAGGACCAGAACACTTGACAAAATGGCCCAGATGTTCAAAAATATTTATTAAAACTTTTACTCTTTTTGCCTCTGATATGCCCAGGTGCAGAGAAGATTTTCAAAGAAATAATACAGTTTTTACTACAGATTCACTACATTATCAATAGAGCCCCCCAGCCCCCCCCCCCCCCCCCACCTCCCATCCCCACCGAGAAACACCAGAGTCTCTCACCCTGGGACCAGAGGTTTATTCATCAATCATGTAAGTAATCACTTTGTTTATCTGATTAACACTCCCCCCCCCACCTCCCATCCCCACCGAGAAACACCAGAGTCTCTCACCCTGGGACCAGAAGTTTATTCATCATACATGTAAGTAATCACTTTGT